ATGTGCTGCATCGTGGTGCAGTTGTCAGTACCTCGCAGCAAGAGGGTTGCAGGTTTGAAGCCTGGCTGCGGCCTTTCTGCGTGGAGTTGCATGTTCTCCCCATGCATGCATGGGTTTGCTCCGGGTTCTCTGGTTTCCTCCACAGATCACAAAATGACCTATAGATTAACAATTGTATGTTGGTTTGGATAAAAAGCGTCTGCCAAATAAATAAACAGAAAACAATTTATGTCCAAATGTTTTTCATTAAACTGAATAATTAAAATAAGCGGGCACTTAACAGGAGGAACTACAAACAGGAACATTACACTTATCTAGACAATTAAAAATTCACTGTGATATTTAACAAGACCCTGATCAGCTAAAATATATAATTGCAAATAGAAACACCTATAAAGGTTCCTGAGCCTTTAAATGGTCTCTCAGTCTAGTTAAATTACTGAAAAAATGTAATTTTGCACAGAATTCTAAGTTTTCCAGTTTCACACAATTGTGTGTTTTAAGTAGCATTTCTGTTGCTGGTAATCTAGTAATGGTTAAATAAATAAATAAAATCCTTTAAAATGACACTAGAAGAGGCACAAACCTGATGGAGGACTTACATTTACTAACGTGGGTCAGACCCAAACACAGAAGAGCTGAAGCTGGCTGGTAAACACACACAGGTAGTTCTGATAACACCTGAGCTCCATGACGTCTGAGACTGATGCATCAGTGTTGCAGCGGGATTAAAGACATGATCAGAAACAGGTTACAGCTGGATGATCTAGGAAGGTAGAAGATCGTGATGTCTGAGCGGTGAACAGGTGAGCGGACCTTCAAGTCCCGCTGTCATGCCAATAAGGGCACGCCTGCAGCAGCGAATCTGCGGGTCTGCAGCCGTCGACTATTCATCACGTCTTCCTCGTTCTTCACGGGCCGTGATGCGCTTGGATGAAAACATCCGCCTCTTTATCTCCCAACACATCGCACTGCTGAATTAGTACCGCACGCATTTTATTATCAGTAACGGAAACGGCGTTATGATAAAAGAAGACTGTAATTAATTAGATTAGATTACTCATTACTTTTTTGGTAACGCTGAAACGTTTATACGACACGATCCTACTAGGTTTTCTTATACTTTCTGACATCTTTCGTACATTTTGTCAGACTGTCAGCTTGTCTTGATTACCTCTAATCCATTGTCGCCAAATAGCCAGGTCAGACTTGGAAGCTGTTGTCCAGGTGCTGTTACACATCCATATAGTGATGTGTGTGTGGTCAGATGAATTACTGAGGTTTGTGCTTTGAAAGCCAACGACATGTCGAGGAGTGTTTATGCTCTAAACCACATGAAGACGGGCAGTAAAGATGAGGCAAGGAGGCTGGATCAGCCGTGTGTGAATTCCTGCAAATTGTCTGGATAAAGAAACCCTCATGCCTCTCATGTCCCATCATCTGGTCTCATCTCCTCCACTCTTGATCACACATCTCCGTCTATTATTTCTTTATTCTTCTCTGCTTGACTCTCCTCCATCACCCGCCCATCCCTCTTTTATTCTTCTCCTCCTTCCCTCTGTGCCGTATGTTTGTCTCGGTTGCCTTCTGTTCCCTTTTTTAGATTTTAGATATTTTCCCCCTCAGGTCTAGGATCAGTGGCATCTAATGCTTTCCACTCCGGCTGATTAAGTCGGCACATGTACCGACTTTACATTATCACTGGCACACATACCCACTCATGCACGAGCGTCCCCGCGGAGCTAATCAGTCCTGCTCTTAGTACTTTTTTTCTCACACACACACACACACACACACCACTCCAGACCTAATGAAAAAACATGAGCTTTGACAAAAACCGAAGGCGAGATGGGCTGATAGAGGAGGAAAACCATGAAGCAAAAGTAACTGCACGTTGGAGAGAAAAGAGATGAGAAAGAGGGCAAGTACTCGGGTTGAAAAGGTTACTGGTATCGAGGGTAACCATGGTTCCTATGTTGGTAGTATTGAATGAAATAATTTGACAATGGAATATTGTATATATGTATTTGGTGGCCAAGCAATTTAAAAGATATGGTACGCTTTTGATTCCCCAGCTAATGCAAGGAGACAAGCAAGAGGTCACTGGATATTTTTAAGCTTCCAGAGACTAAATCGCTAGTGCGACTCTGTTTTAAACTCTACTGAAGTGTTGAAGGGAGGATTTAAGATCGTCTGTCCATCTGCACAATATGAGAAGAGAAGGTCAATGTGACGATGGAAGCATGAATCTAATGAGTCGTGAGTTGCCTGCTTGTGCAACGTCATCTACCCTTTTAGTCATCTGTGGTACCTGAGATGACTCTAGCAGTTCAACTTGCTGCTAGCTTCTTACATTTCCCAAGCCAACATCAGAAGCTTTGAGGGTTTTACTTGAAAACACAGCTACACACAGCTTGAGTCCAACATGTATTATCTTGCTGGTGTCTGAGGACATGAACACGCACAGCTGGGTTTTTGTAATGCCAAATATCCTCCCCACCCATCTAGGAAAGAACTTGGGTCCACATCACCTCGTTTTCAGCAAACATTCCAGCTCACTTTGAAGCAAATTCATGCTAAAACTAACATTAGATGGCAGTAAGTGTCGGCATCTTTGCCGAAATAACATTTCTCGGATGTAGAATAACTAGGTGACGAGCAATAACTGTCCGCAACTTAGTCCTTTTCCTGTGGTCTTCAATATAGAGCAGTAATTTAGCTTGTAAAACAGGTGTGTAAAGACAGGTTGCATGTGCGATGCCAGAGATTTTTTGTCACGGTCCGTGACTTTGCAAAATCTGTACCCCTGATTATGTATGTTTACAAGCAATGGCGGACAATGGAGAAATCAATAATCTCCGCCTTGGTCTACGTTTCCGGAAGAATTGCTTTTGGTGCCGTTTATCTGCGCTTTGGTGTGTATGATGGGTTAAACCATAGAGAAATAGCTTTCTTCTCGTGGGATACCTGGCTCATGTGTACAGGGTCTCAGACTAAACCTCCTGGAAAATTACAGATGCACTTAAATATGAACTAAGGTTCAGAATTATTTTTGGGGGGTGAATGGAGGAAAAAAGACATCCAACATGTTTCTTAGTCAGATTTTACTAGCGCTAAATTCCAAATGATGCTAGCAGTAACAGAACTAGAACTTCTAGAACTGTCATTTTGAAGTTAATCAGAGGAACAACAAAACAATCGTGTTGTGCTAATTATAATTCTGAGATACTTTCGACTCCCCTAAAATCTGTATCAGCACTTCAGTTTCAAAAGAATCAGAATTCAATATCAACTCTTAAAATCAGAATCCATGCATATCAATTTATTTGTTTTTGTTTAGTTATGTGACAGTGATTGTAATCATCTCAGAAGTGTAATATTGTATGTACATAACATAAATTCTGCTTTCATTTTTTTCATTTAGTAAAAAATCTGCTGATTTTAGAAGCATTGATGTCAGTATATCAATATTGGCAAATATTGGCCATAACAGCGATAATAATATCGGATATTGGCATTGGCCCAAAAATGTCATATTGGTGCATCACTAGTTTTTGCACACTTTGAATGACTTTTGATAATACCGTCTACTAATATAATGAACTCCTATACAGTGACGGTAATCAGGGTATAGAATTTTTGTATGGTTGCAAGCAAGAGTTATTTTTTACTACAGGGCCACAAATAGCCTTTAATGTTCCAGTTCAGGAACGTGAATGGTTTCCACTTACAGATGATGACGAGTTGTTGGGAGAGGTGAGACCAACAGTCAAGTGACAACGATGCTTTCAGATGCTAATCTCTTTGATCAGCTGTCGTTCTCTACGGGGACGGATTGTGCTGTTATGCACCTTTATATTACATCACTCTACACTAGTTTGTATTGACCAAGTAGCCCACCACCTGGTCTGTGTGTGTGTGTGTGTGTGTGTGTGTGAGGGGGGGGGGGGGGCTTGAGCAGGACATTAAGTGGATGAATGAAAGGCGACAATGGGCAGCACCTGCACACGCTCTCACCATAGTGACCACCTGATTATGAAGATAAAGTGTTGCTGTCCATCACAATCCTCCAGTAGTTTAATGAGAGGCTGTTTCCGTAGTTACCAGGTGTGAGAGCCAGCAGGGAACAGAGAACAAAAGGGGGAAGAGAGAGATGGTGGAGTGAAGGGAAGATGCAGGAATTAAAATAAAACGAAGCCTAAATCTGAGGTGAATGATCAGTTTGAATGGGCGTGTGTGTGTGTGTGTGTGTGTGTATTGATGTGTTTGCTTGGGAGACTGGCTGTGATAGTTGCATGTGGTGAGTGGAGACACTGAATCTTTATAATAAGCTAAGGGACCAGAACCTGGGTTGGTCCAGATCGATCTCCATTAAAAAAGAGAACAGTGAGGAGCAGCCAAGCTGTTGGGTCCAGGTCTGATTGTGTTGTGTTCCCTGAGATAAAGTAAAAAATGAAGCCGTTTTCATGCTCTAGGTGTACCGCAGTAGCTCATCCTGGCATTTTCTCTCATTCTGCTAGATACGGTTTTCAGAAAGTACAAGAACGTTGTTTTATTTTTATTTTTTTTCAAAAATAAAATTTTTTTTCTCAATCATGACCGTTCTGGGCACCTGAACACCCCTGGTTAATAGTGAATGTGTGTTTTGAAGAACATGTAGTTCATCCCGAGTATCAGAGAGCGTCCTGCTGGTGTTGTCGACAGCGTCTCAGCCTAATAGCGTCTTACTGTTCTGTTTCTGATGTGTGAAGTTTGCAGCTTGACATTTTCACACCTGAAAGTTCAATTTCCTCTCATGATCTGTGAATGAGTGACACCTGAACTTGTGCCAACACACCCCTGAGAGCAAAACAGAGCCAGATGGTAAAGTCAGGAGGTTAGGAGGTTGGACGTGTCCTTCACTTGTTTTTTTTAAGTGGACTGGTGTTTTTGATGGTGGGATTTGATTTGTACGTCTCTTTGCTCTCGTGTGATGGTGTTTGTCTTTCTGCACACCCCAGATCTGATCCACTGCACCAATGAGATGAACGTGAGCATTCCCCAGCTGGCGGACACACTTTTCGAGCGCACGGCCAACTCCAGCTGGGTGGTGGTCTTCAAAGCCCTCATCACCACCCACCACCTCATGATGTACGGCAACGAGGTAGGAGCAACACACAAACAAAAGCCCCTCCAGGCTACATCAGTGGGCAGTGCCATCACTCACTGGTGTCTGGCGTGTTCATAAACACAGAGACGGACGCTAACTGCATGCGGGCCTACCGAGGACGTGTACGTTGGACACAAAGCGCGGATGATTGAAATAGCTCCGGAGTGCAGAGAAATTAATTGGCTCAGTGAGAGCTGGAGGCAAGATGGGAAACAATGATGGAAGCAGATGAATAATCAAATAAATGAGCTTTGCGGAAACATGGCTCGCAGTTGGACCAACAACAAAAACACCCCTCTGTGAGTTTACAGACATCCAAAGACCCCAAATCACTCTTTACTCTTCTTCCTTTATGAATTCTAATGGAGGCCCCTGTCAGGGGGGTGTCTGGGCTGGTTTCTGGTTGGGAGATTTAATTCTTTGTGGATTTATTAATTTCTAACCAGACAGAAGCAGAGGGTGCGCTGTTCCTCCTCTCGTTTGCATTTATATTGATCCTCCAGTTTGTAGGCTGTTAATATTTCACAAGTCCTTCCCTTGAAAATGTTACTGATTTAACACAATACAATTTTACATAAAAGCAGTCTTTGATATTCAGATGGGCTCCATGCCCTTTGGTGCTCGCTGTAGCGTTGGTGTGCTGCTGAATGTGCGTTTTATGAAAGCAGGCTGCTGCGTTTGTCTTTTATCATAAAACGTCTGACTGCTGAACTGTGTGTAGTGGTGTACTATAATTACCACTAGGCTGGTGGAAATCACAGTGGTTCCCAACCTGGGGGTGCTAAAGATCACAGGAGGGGGGAGTTTCACTGCAAAGGGGTTGTCAGAGTTGGGATTTATGCATGTTCAAAGTAATAACACATTCAAGGGTTTATCAGAAAGTCTGTGGGAAGATTTAGCGTTGCTACACACACAGCTGCTTTAGATTGGTCCACTTTTACACAGTCACAGGAAAGAGAGTGAAATAAAAGACGGGACTTTGTTTAAGCTGTTGCAAATAAAACGTCTCACGTCTCGACACATCAAAGCTTGGCCCGGGGACATTTTCAGGCCCACAAAGTGAATTTGCGCGGGCCCTGATTGCATTTCTAGAATTTTGTTGCTTTGCTTTGTTTTGTAAACGTAAACAAAGTCATCAACAAATGTATACATTGTCACCAAAGTTTGACGATGCATAGTTAAAGGGCCACACCAAAGAAGCTACTTTTCTTTTATAATCATAATTTATACTGAGGTGATATTTTGTTAATGTAAATACAATCTCCGGCTCTCACTGAAGCGGTTTGCAGCAGAGTGTGAAGCGGCTGGGATGAGAATCAGCTCCTTTTAATCCGAGACCATAGTCTTGAGTCGGAAAAGGGTAGAATGCCTTCTCCAGGTCAGGGATGAGAAGAAGAAGAAAATATCATTTCTATAACGCCTCTCAAGATAAAAATCATGAGGCGCTTCACAAAAACAAAAAATGTAAAAATATTAAAAAGAATTTTGAAAATGGTTAAAAATATATTTAAAATGAGAAAAAATAGACAATTGTGATTAAAAAAATGTTAAGAGAGAGAGAGTGAATAGGAAAGAGGGAAATCAGTGGATCTGAGGAAGGTGGAATAGGTGGGGAGAGCAAAATAAAGAGAGAGTGGTGAAGAAGGTCATCCAAAAGCCAGCTTGAACAAGTGAGTCTTCAGCTGCTTTTTAAAGGAGACCACTGAGTCCACTGATCTCAGGCTCAGGGGGAGAGAGTTCCAGAGTCTGGGGGCCACAGCAGCAAATGATCTGTCACCTTTGGTCTTTAGCCTGGTGCACTGCACAACCAGTAGGCTTTGATCACTGGACCTCAGGGACCTGCTGGGGGTGTAGGGACTAAGAAGATCACCAATGTAAGATGGTGCTTGTCCATGTAGGGCCCTATAGACCAGAACCAGGATCTTGAAATGAACCATGAAGTTGACTGGCAGCCAGTGAAGCTGGAGGAGAAGCGGGGTGATGTGGGCGTGTTTGGAGGACTTGGTCAGAAGCCGAGCACAGGCGTTCTGAACCACCTGTAGACGGTTCAGGGAGGTTCTGCTCAGACACGTGAAAAGAGAGTTACAGTAGTCTAAGCGTGAGGAGATGAAGGTGTGGATAACTGTCTCAAGTTCAGAGCGAGACAGAATGGGACTCAGCTTAGCAACGTTCCTGAGATGGAAGAAGGAAGAGCGAACAAGAGAACTGACACAAGAATCCAGGGTGAGAGCTGGGTCAAAGGTCACACCAAGATTCCTGATGGAGGGTGTGGTGTGAGAAGCAAGCTGACCAAGAGAGTCTCTGACTTTGGGAACCAGCTTGTCTGGGGCACAGATGAGGATCTCAGTCTTATCTTCATTCAGCTGTAGAAAGCTCCCAGCCATCCAGGCTTTGATAGAGTCTAAGCAGGTGTGTAACAGCTGCAGCTTAGACATCTCATGGGGCATAAAGGAGATGTACAGTTGGATGTCATCTGCATAAAGATGGTAGGAGATTCCTTTAAAGGAGGTCAAGATGTGCTGAAGAGGGAGCAGATAGAGGAGGAAGAGCAGAGGCCCCAGCACAGAACCTTGTTCTGCCGTAAGTGGAGAAGCTTAAGTATCTTGTGGTCTTGTTTACGGTTGAGGGAAAAATGGAACATGAGATCAAAGGGCAAAGTGGTGCTGTGTCTGCAGTACTGCGGATGTTGTACCAATCTGTTGTGGTGAAGAGAGAGCTGAAAGCTCTCCAATTACCGGTGGATTTACGTTCCTACCCTCACCTGTGGTCACGAGCTTTGGGTAGTGACTGAAAGAATGATATCACGGGTTCAAGCTGCTGCACATTTCTTAGGTTTTTAACCGGAAACACGTTAGTGGCAGGGAAATCATTCGTATCAGCGGAGGGGAGGCTGGCGTTTTGTTTCGCTGCCGTGCATCGTCCGTATCAGCGGAGAAGATTGGGTCGGGGAGGGGACCGCCCTTAGCCTGGTGGGTGACTAAGCTAAGCCTGGCAAACCACCTGGTTTTTAAAGTGCTGGAGGAAACCCTGCATAGTTAACTGGTTAATTGCTGTTAATGTTGTAACCAGGTAAAATCGTGTTGCCCGGTTAAATGCTTCAAGTCCCATCTGCTGTGCTGGGGTGTTAAATATTTTATAGAGCTATCAAAATGTTTACTGGGCAACTGCAGAAGAAAAAATGAGCTCGTCACATGATCAAACAAATGTGCTCAAACACAAAGCGGTTAGCAAAGAGCACAGGGTGGAAGCAGTTTATTCTTAGTTATTTCATTCTTGTCCGCTGCGCAACAAGTTGCGAATCTGACGGACATTTTAGGTGGGATGACAGCTATCTATTTACTTTGTGCTCATGAATGTAACAAGTGTGGGTCAAGAGTAGACGGAAAAAGCGTTATTTATAAATGTTTGTGTGCGTCGATGGTGGAGGAGTGTTGGTGGGTTTCTGGTTAACCATGTATTAACCGTTGAGACGTCAATAACCGGTTAAAGAAATTTTGGAAAACATGCATTCCTAGTCACACATATGTTGTACTTCTATTTAAATGATAAATATGTGTGTTTCAACTATGTCTGTTAAGTTATTTGAGATTTAGTAATTTGTACAAATTCATAAAAAGACTACAAATCTCACAAGTCACATATGACCGCAGAGTTTCTTCTCCCCTTGTATAGCTGCCACTCACCACACGGCCAGATTTATGACACTTTTCTTCACATTTAATGCTCCTTCCTGCTTCCTGGAAGAAGGATTCCAACCTTTGCAGCCATTTTTCTTCTTTTCTCATTAAATTAAATCAGTTTGGTGAGACAAGCATTTGGAGTCTGCAACGTTCTTTTACATAAAACCTAAAATAACTTTTGCCACTGGTCAAAAATAAGCACTTTCTTGGCATCAAAATGTCTTTAAAATTCTCGTACATCATATGTTAATGCACTGACACATGTCAAACGGGATCAGAAAATGACTCGACCCATAATTTAAAAAAAAAAATTTTGGCAGAAGGGGACTAATGGACCGGCAGTAGATGGGCGTGACTTATGGGCTCGACACACGGGAGGCGACAAACGACCGCGATCAGCGAAATTTGTCGCTGTCGCTTTTAATACCTGTCACACGGGAGGCGATCCGCGGCAGCGGCCAGCGCCAAAGCCGTCTACGCATTCTATTCCATGGCGAAATCTAAACTTCCGTTGTTTTGTTTGGCTGTGTCAGGTTGGAGGGAATTAAGGTTATTTAAGCGGTTCAGAGTTAATAAAGCGGTAGATATGATGTTTCACAAGGTGCCGCTAGAGTTATGTGAAATCTTACTTCTGATTTTACTATAAAACATAATAATAATCAACTTCTACATGTTTGCTCGGAGAAGTGCGGAGCATCCTGACCGCTCATTGGTCAGTGAATGAAACCTCCGTTGATTGGTCCTCGCCCGAGCGACAGCGATGAAAAGTTGAAAATGTTTCAACTTTCTGGGATCGCGTCGCTGGGTCGCACGTGCACGACACGTGCACGAGTGCAAACTTTCACACGCACGTTTTTCGCGTTTCGCTTGGTAGGAGGGAGACCCGCGATTATCGCTTTGTCATGCATGTCTCATTGAAAATGAATGGAGGAGAGGCGATGTCGCCTCCCGTGTGTCGAGCCCATTAGGCTCCCTTAGGGGGAGACGGTGCAATATAATGCACATACTACAAACCAGATGATATTTTATATTTTAAAAATAATTTGGAAAAGGCCAGATGCTTCCAAGACACATTCCGTGTTAATGCCATATCCCGTGCCTCTGTCAGAATGAAGGTGGTAAAAACTGCTGCCACCTAGCAGTCGGAAGGTTGAATTGCACCACACACACAAACAGTAAATGTTTACATGTAAATTCTCAATGAATAATCTATATACTGCTTTTGAATATTTATCAGCATCATGAAACAGATAATAGTTAAATTTCAGTGTATCAATATTTTCTTTCATTCCAGTAAAACAGAAAACAAATTGA